GTCTGATCAACCTCTGGCCTCTCCCCGTCGCCGAACGATCCCTCGACATACCCTTCCCTGCGCGCAAGTTCCACGGAGCCTAGCAAACTTCGTGTGAGTGTATCCAGAGCTCTCTGCTTCGAGCTGTTTTCTTCGGTTGACGCAACGGGCTCGCGTGTTTAGAGCCTTCAACCGGATTGGGCTAGAGGTTCGCGTGGAAGGAACTCTTGTCCGCCTCTCTTCTTTTCTGTCTGTAACCGCAACTCAAGCAAGTTTTCCTGCCTGCACCGTGACCATCTTCGGTGTAAGTAAAATAATCTTAAATCAACCGCTAAGCGTCCGTGCCTAATTCTAGTCCGCCGGCCTGCATTCCCCGACCCGCGTGCCAGGGCTGCTGGCCACAGCCCGCGCCGCGAAAGCCCCCGAGAACCTGGAACCGCTCCCGGCCCGCACAGTTTACTTTAATGAGATTACAGGTGACTTGACTGTAGTTTTCAAGTTCCTACACTGAGAACAGAAATTTAGGAAGACGGCTCCTCAGTCTAAGCAGTGGTTGTCAACCTTTTTAGACTCAAGGCACCCCTTGGAAAATGCCAGGTCTTAGCTTTCATTCTTTTTCTGACTATGTAAAAATTCTGTTGCAAAGGACTCAAAGACCACAACAGGTCAGAATGTTTTGGATACTGTGGAGAAAACTTGTGGCACCCCAATTGAGAATCCCCAGTCTAAAAGTGCCAAAAAGCCCCACTGAAGTGCACAATCTATACAGATGTTCGGTGAGAAAAATCCAACGGCTTGAATTTGAAGCTAGACAAATTCAGATGCAAAATAAGGCACGTGTTTTTTAACAGCCAGGGGAATTAATCATTGGAACTTCTTACCAAATGTTGTGGAAGATTCTCTATCACTAGCAACTGATTTAAATAAGGCTGGATGAGTTTTTTTTGGGGGGGGGTTACATTCTATTTGAATTTATACTCTAGTTTAAACAAATAATTCAGGGAAGTTCTATGACCTCTGTTGTTTAGAGGTTTACATGAATCTCTTGAGAAACCAACAAGTCTCATGAAAAACTAAGGAACTCAGTATTTAATTAGGTAAAATACAGATTTCAGATATCTAAATGTTGTGACTAGTGTATCAGTGTCTTTCCTGCACAAACGTATTGGGCAGAAGGGGAAATGAGTTTGAACTTTCTGAGACCCGAAACGAGAGAATCAAGAAGAGTACTTGTTCATTACCACCCTCTAAGATTTCTGAGAGAAGATAACCCCACTAGAAAGGTCATTCCATCTAATCCTGCAAGGCTCCTCATGTTAGCGAGAACTTTCCATTGAGTGTAAAGCTGCCAATGCAGCCATAAAAAATAGCAAAAATATTTTATTTTTGTCCACTAACATAAAAAAATAAACAGTCATAAATAGTGATCCAGGCTCCACCCAGAATCACAGTAGATGAAGATGTACCTGGAGTTGTACCTTCTGATCTACAAAAAGAAAGGGACTGCCATGTAGCTGAACTAAAAATAGTGGACATTTTGTTTGGTATTAATTAATGTTTTTATTATGGAAGTATGATGTGGAAAGGTGAAACTATTTTTAAAAAAGAATCTTGAAGAGCTGGTTTTAACTGATTTTAATTGAGACTTACTGATAAAAAATGTTACAAGAAAGCTAGGTATTATTATTTAAATTACCTTAAATTTTAAATTAAATTGCTTTAGATCAGTTTTGCAGTGTCAATTTAATTTGAAAAACTGTACTAATGCAATATTTAAGTTATTCTTTATGGACTAATCAATACTGTGACTATAGACAAATATATGTATTACAAAACTCTTCCAAAAATAGCAAGAGTCTTCTTTTCTACTTATTATTGCCTTTTAACCTGAAGCATAAAGGATTACATTTTCAACAGTGACTACTGATTCTGAGTGCCTCATCTTCTGTTTGTGTCTAAGTTGATTCACTTAGGGGAACCTTATTTTCAGAATGTTATCTTTAGAGCACAGTGATTAAACTGGGAGTACTTGTGTACATTATAATATACACGGGCACAGTTCCTGCAGAATTGCCAGACTATGGACAGAAAATTACTTACTAAAAGTTTAAAGTCTTCAAATGAGAGTTTTCCAAGCTGTGACTGGTCAAGTGTACGTGCATGTCAGAGAGAGGACTGTTGATTAGAAAGCATAAACGACTGAACAAGGATAACGAAAGAGATTTAAGAGGGGCTTTTATAGCCAGCAAGAGATCCTAAACAAATATTCAAATTAATGTGGAGGAACAAGGTGCTCATCAGCTAGTCAGTGGGAGGCAGAGACTCCAACAGATAATGCCTTCCCTTGCATTCTCCAGGATGCCCTCCTCCTCCTCCTGGTTGTTCATTCCCAACAATCTGCTCAAGTCTCACACTGATATGTACATTGAGAATATCTTCTATATATGCCCCAAGCAATAGGAAAGAAGAATTAGACCAGGTGGGTCTAAAGCTGTCCTGAATATCTGCAAAAGTGCCTCAGCTCTTTGCAGCAATATAAAAATGTAACACTATGGGGGTGCTCCAACCTCCTGGCTGAAGAGCTACAAATCTGCCTCAAAGACAAGCTCTCCAGCCAGGTGGCACCAGGGTGCTGCTTCTGAATAAGCCAGGGCTCTTACAGCAATAGTGGTCATTCCTGTAGGGGTGGCGATTCTGCCCCTGCCCAGATTCACCAATCAACTGCCATGACAGAGCTGCCCCTGTGGGACAGACCACGGCTGTGACAGTGCTATCTCTGTGGGAATTGTCTCCACAACCTTGAAAGACCCAGGGCGGGCTGGTGCTCTTTAACAGATGGTAGCAGTAGCAGGGTCCCAAGTAGGGCTCCCTGACAGCTGCCTCCTGGGTGAGCTCTGAGGGAAACAGCCACTCTCCCTTCTTCCCTCCCCCTTGAATGTCGGGAGGGAGAGTGGAGGACTGTGGGATGCCAATAGGAAAGTACAGTAGTGTATCTAAAACCCCTCCTCTCTCAGGAGCATAGGAACCTAAACCATGCTTTCCCATTAGATTTCACCTTTCACCTCTAATGCACAACTCCTCTTTTGGCTTTGAGAATGGTCTCCTAATGCTTTCTGAAGGCAGGTCCATTCTTACATGCTTTCCTTTTGGCCGCAAGATTTTTGCACTCTTGGATGTCCAGTGACTTGGCTTCAACAGGAGGGATGGAGAGTACTCTCACCTGGCCTATTCCAGGACATGGTGGTTAGACACTCCAGGAAATACAGATTTAAGTCCCTTCAAAGTGAGAAGGGCTTAGAACCCTAGTCATGTTCTTGATAACAGCTCTAAACCTTCGACTATTAGACAACAGGGGAACACTACTGTAATAGGGTTACAACTGAGCTGACTTAAGTGTGGTTAAGCATGATTTTCATAAACCTAAACTCTCTCTGGGGACTTAGGTGGAGTTTAGGTGCCTCCCTGGTATAGACATTCAGGAAATTTTCACAATCCAAATGGAAGCTTGTAATGAATTTAGGTACCTAATGAATTTTCTGGCTGATGGTATAGGATCAATTGAAATCACTATTTATAATTTGGAAGCTAAACTCTGCCCAAATTGCCTTTAAGTGACTATCTGCATCCTGATCCAATATTATAAATTGTTATCAATATCACAATCCAGTATTAAAACAAGGATGCTCCTACCTTGAGCAGGGGGTTGAACTGGATGACCTCTGGAGGTCCCTTTCAGCCCTACTTTTCTATGATTCTCTAATGGTGCCCCCTTTAGCCTACTTAATAGTTATAAAATAAATCACATCAAACAGTTCAAAGTCATTCATGTACTATGCTAATGCTCATGGAGATAAAAATATGGCTCCACTACTGCAAACAATTATCCACATGGTTCACTTTGTATCACTTTATTGCGAGTAAACACATGAATTATGCTTCACAGGATCAAGAATTTGATCTTTAACATTAATTATGAAAGTTAGAGACAGAACACTTGTTCTTAAAGCATTTAACTTAAAGTCTCAAAAATCTCATCCTTCTTCAATGATAGCTTTGATTAAAACATCTCAAACATACTGGTCAAAGACACTTATTAACACTTCTGAAGTTTAATTAAATATGTAGATATTATATCTTATTTCACTGCTTACATGTCCAGTACAAGCATGTTGCTGCATAATTCTTCAACTAATTAAAATAACTCAATTATGTACAAAATTCATATAGGCATAGCAATGATGATTAAAACTTGCAAATTCTGTCTTGGCACTTAGCATGAATACAGTAATGTTAATTTTTTTCAAATTTTCTGTATGAAACTGTTGAGGTAACAGTATCACCTAGGCTAAGCAATTGCAAAGTTATAAGGATGACAGCCTCGCAAAGTTATGTAAGTCCAACTATTTATAAATTATTTCCATATCCTTTTTCTACTGATATTTAGATAAAATTATTTTATATGCTACTCACCTTGTGGTGCTATGTGAAGAGAATCCTTCAACTTCCTATCAGGGACAAATTTCCACTGAAAGACGGAATGATCAGCTCCACCAATGGAAACAACCCATTGATGATCATGTGACCACCTGACATTTGTCACATGAGCTGAATGACCAAGATATTTTTTAAACTTTGCTCCTAGAACAAGGAGAAAAGTCAGTTTGCTATGTGTCTGGAATAAGCATTTCTAAACAACAATTACTAAAACAAAAATCAGGGAATCCTTCTACATTTTGTGAAACATATTAATAAAATATTATTAACTAAATATAAACATTGATTAAAGTAATATCGGCTCACAAGATGTCACCAATGTGGAAAAACACAATTCCACTTCTTCTGTCTTGTGAAAGGAAGACAGAACATTAAGCATTCACCAAATTATGATACTACCCCTCACCTCCAATACAAATAGGAAAACTTGGAAGGAAGGAAGGAAAGGCAAGGGAAAATAAGAAGAGGAGGAAGGAAAGGAAGGAAGGAATGATAACCATAGCTGGCTTTTATGAGGTCTGCTATAAGTGAATCATTTTGCAGAACTTTTAACCAAAATTCTACAACTGTCTTTCTGCCCTGAAGTTTGTTTATTTTTAATTTTAGCACATCTTTAATAGGCCTCTATACACTGTGCTATCTGGACACTCAGACTATTGATTCCCATTTTTCCTACAATAGAACTTGAATGTTACTCACATTAAGCCATATACCTGCTTTAATTTAATTAATGCTGTTACATCTGATTAAATCTATTACTGTATCCTGCATAACTAAGATTTGATACACAGATACATCTAAAAAAATGATCCCACACAATTCACTGCAGGGATTATCATGATTTTTCTTCATCAGATTCATCTCTTCCTCAATTATTAAAGTGAATAACTCCTTAAAATGAGGGATAAAACTATTTTCCTTCAGATATTTTCCAGATTCTTCTCAGAGTATTTTTTTTTTCCACAAGGATACAGATTATCTCACTTATCAACTAGCAAAAGACTTATGGCTATCAAGTTTAAGAAACAAGGATTTGAAGGATTAATCTGTATTGGTAAAAGGGAAAAAGACAAAGTAGCGTTATATATTCATGTCAATATTAAAAATATTATGAAGGAATGTAAGGTAGACACTGATGATAAAATACTGTTGTGATAATAGCACAAAGGTTATAAAGACATTGCATAACCCCAGTGCTCTAGGCCATCAGGAGTACCATGCCGTTGCAGCTGCCATGAAAAACATTATCACATTTCTGACTCTTAAATGATCAGCCAGCCACAACATAAGTGCTGGAGGTTGCTTGTAAGGGTTTCAGATTATTTAGTTATTATACTGGTATTTTCAAGGATATTTTAAGTGACTCAACTCATCCTAGGATATATAGAAAAAAAGTCCCAAATTGATGTGTCAAAATTTGATTCTTTTGGACTAGTTTCCAGAATTTTTTTTGTAAAAAAAGAACTTCCTCCACCTTAATTACCAGAGAACATTTCAAGAGCCTTCCCCATATGACTGCAGTAGCACTGGTTTGAGGTGCTCCCAACACATTTTTTGGGAGACATGCAGGGGTTTTTTGTTTCTGGAATGGAGCAAATTGAATAGCCTTTGAAGAAGCAGAAACTCTTTCTTGTTAGATATTCAAGACTACAAAGATAGGTAACCCCCACTCTCTGCCTGGTATCAACCTAATTCTGGGCTATCAAGTTGAAAGGATGAGATAATTTGCTTCAGATTTTAGTTTTAAAATTTTCATCTTAGAAGGTCCTTTTCTTTTGAAGACTTTTCCTTTGAAGAAGTTTTTAGACATGAAAGATTCTTAAGGCAGTGGCACTTGTGATATATAGGAAAGCTAGATACTTTATATTATATGAACAAACAAGCCACTTTTTCTGGCCCTCAGCTCAAATAATACCATATTTACTTGATTCTAAGACAGTCTTTTCCCCACCCAATCAGCACAGAGGGGAAAAGCCACTCAGACGTGTGCACAAAGTGTGTGTGTTTTTGGAGGGCAGGCAGCTCCTGTGGCACTGTTGGGGCAAGAGTCAGACCCACAGCAGTCATGGGCCCCCCCGCCCCTCCCCCGGCTTTACTCCACAGCTTCTGCTCCCCACTCTGTCCCCTTCTCTCCCTTACTGTTGATGACTTGAAAATGGTATTTAAAGGTTTGTTTTTTGGGAATTGGCTTATAGGTATATGAATATGCATTAAAATGGTTCAGGATGGGCAGCAGGGGTTAATTTATTCCTAAAAGCCTGCGTCTCATGCACAGTTTCCTCCGCCTTCAGAAGCAGACAGGCTGTCTAACAAACAAGGGCACACAGTCTGAGAAACTGGGGGCATGTGCCACACTGTTCCATAACATGAGACAAGGTGGCACCAGCTCACAAGGCCAAAGTTGGGCCTGAAATTCCTGTTTTGGGAAAGGTGTGCATGTGATAGGCTGTGAATGTGTTGGCAAAACAGAACATGAGTAGTATGACAACCACAGAGAGACCAATGAGTGACAGCCACAGATGGA